CTGGGGCGGGAGCCGGTTACCGGCGGTGCGCGAGGAGAGGGGCTGCTGCGGCCTGGGAACGGCCCCGCATCACCCTGAAAACCGCTGCATGAAAACACCCGGGAGATGTCGAGTAGAGTGGGATTCTAAGTATGAAATCGTTTAAGATAATATGTAGTTTGTTTATATAATTGAAACTGACTACACGTTAATTTTCCTTAGTTAAACTATAAACATGAAGAAATTAAAGCTTAAAGAACTGGAAAGCTGTCTTCAACAAGTTGATACTTTTGAAAGTCCAAAACTGCTCCTTGAACAGTATCCAACAAGACCTCATATTGCAGGTAGAGGTTACCTACAGCACTGTTGTCTCTTTTACTAGTTCCTCATCAGAAGTTTAAAATAAATTTTAAGTCTTTCCAATGTATTACCTCCTTTGAAGCCTTTACACTAAAATCAGTTGAGAAATTGTATCCAGCAGGAGTGTAATTAATAATTTTTTAATGATCTGTTAACTTACTTTCATTAGAAGTATACATTAATGTACAATCCAAAAATCAAGTAAATTGATTTAAAAGATAATGTGATAGAAACATCTTAATCCGTAAATGAGAAATCTTAAATGGATTTATTTTATGACACAAAAAACAGTAAGTGTATGTACACTCACCCATACCTTCATTTTTTTCAGTATTTTACATCTTTCTCTCATTTTTCTCTGAATTTAGAAGCATACTTTTTCTACAAACAATACTCACAGCTGTATGTGTAATCTCTCCACCAGAGATCTAGAGTTCTATAACTCATCAGAATGTTTTTGACTTCTCACATATAAATGAAAAATTACAGGCAGTGAGAACATCAGCTTAATTCTGCATGACAAAAAAACATTAGTTCAGCTTCTTAAATGCAGAAGTAGCTTTTCCTGATTAATCAGATGCATATTTGATATTATTGACTTGTGACTTTTTTTCCCCCCCCAGCATGTATGCTTTATACAATTCATAATACTTTTGATGATATTGAAAACAAAACAATTGCAGATTTAGGATGTGGTTGTGGCATGCTCAGCATTGGAAGTGCAATGTTAGGAGCAGGGTAAGTAATACCAAGTTCTGGTTGTATTTTTTTCTGGCATAGAAGTATAAAAAATAAGATTAGAACATAGCAATGCTGAACTAAAGTGATTTTTAGGTATTTAATCTGGTGCATAACAAGGCTATTAAATATGTTTAGAAAGTCAATAACCATTCAAATAGTAGAAGAAATGAACAGTTGCCATGTATCTGGAAGTTCAAATGTTTGCTTTCCCCAAAGTACTAAATGAACACATGAAACCTCCTTCACAATCTTCAAAAGGATATTTGAGAAAGGGCAACAGAGCTACTCCTGGTTTTATCAGCACTGAATTTATAATGTATGCTTGTTATATTTCCTAGGTAAAATAAGTTGTGTACACAGATCCCTTTCAAAACTTTACTATAGAATGTAAACAGCATTTTAGTTTGCAGGAAACTAATATGTGGCACTTTTTTTTTACTAGATTGTGTGTGGGGTTTGACATAGATGCAGATGCACTGGAAATATTTAATAGCAATATTGAAGACTTTGAGCTCACAAACATCAACATGGTTCAGTGTGATGTCAGTTCTTTATCTGACAGCATGCCAGAGACTTTTGACACAGTTATTATGAACCCTCCATTTGGTACCAAGCATAATAAAGGTGGGTAATTCTGAAAGTCAGTTAGAAATGATTAAGAATTTAAATAGCAAGGGAAACACTTTTAATGAAACATCTCCCTCCTTTATTACAATTATCTATTGTAATTATCTAGAGTTTTGTTGATCTGGGATCAGTTTCCTAAATACAGATTAACAACTTCAACTTTGTAACTAACAATCACTGGGTTTCAAAGAAACAAAACTAGTTATTTCATTTCTTTTACTAAAAGCCATTGAGCAGGTTTTAGAAACACTTTCCTATACCTTAATGTATTCAGTGCTGTTTCTCAAATAGCTATTACTCCAGAAAAATTGAAGCATGAAGCAGATCTTTTAAATCCTTTAGTTTAAGCTTGCATTTAACAGTGCTAATAATTTTGTCTTTTTTAGGAATGGATATGATTTTTCTGAAAACTGCTTTACAAATGGCAAAAACTGCTGTATATTCCCTTCACAAAACTTCAACACGGCAGGCAAGTCCTTAATTTTAGTAGGGCGAGCATTAACCAGGCAATGAAATAATAGCTGGTATTAATGATGCCTATAGCTTCAATGTTTTTTTCCCCCTTTATGGGGTATGAAACTTGTTTGGGGTAAATACTAATCATGTCAAACACCTTGATGTATGTGAGATCAGTTAAGTATGTGATCTGATGTTTCAGCTTGATAAAAGCATGAGAGACTTCTTGAGTAAGAGAGGTATAAATGTTTATAAGACAGTGTAGAAACAAGCTTTAAAATTTACCTAATTTATTGTAGCACATTCAAAAGAAAGCAGATGAATGGGAAGTGAAGATGGAAGTCATAGCAGGTATGATTAATCTGTTAAACACCCATTTTGTTGGGGACTAGTATCTAAAACTTTACTAGCCAGTCATAAGAGCCTGAGGTAAATTTGTGATGTAACATTGAAAATGACATTTTTTTAAGCAGCACACCCCTACCCCCCCTTTTTTTTTCCTAATACCTTACTACCTGGCTGGAATACAAGCAGGCACTTGATAAAGCTGAGGAATACACAATCTGTGCAGAATTAGAATTGGATTTCTTCCTGGCCTAGATCTGGCCTTCAAGGAGAAGGTACCTACCTTCCTGCTTCAAAAGATTGTTGCTGAATAACAAAAGCGAAGTGCAGGTCACTTCTCACACACAAAAAAGCATCCTGTCCTTAGAGTCACTGAAATATTTTTCTGACAGTTGTTCAGGTATCTTCCCAATTCTTAAATATCACCAGCTAGATGCTTTAGTCATACAACTCCAGACATGGAAATTCCACAAGTGCTTGAACCACAACTGCATCTCAGCCAGCCACTTACTGTGGTCATCTTAAATGTTCAGTCATAATTTAGTCCAGAGGTCAAAACACAGGGGGAAAGAGGTGGGCAAGAGAAGAAATAAAAGATGATGGGTGTAAGGTCTAAGTCAATTGACTAATAATCATTTAATTGTTACACAAGTATTCTTTGTACTGTTCACAGAACTTAAATATGACCTACCAGCATCATACAAGTTCCATAAGAAGAAATCAGTAAGTATAAAACCTAATATTACAGAAAATGCTGTCTTGCACTGGAAGGTAAATAACATTTACTTAAGAAACTAAGTTTTAGGGCTGTATGTACTGGATGAGGAATGATCACAGGCACTTGAGAGTTCACTATGATGGCATAAAGTTTGATTGCTGTTACTACATTTTATAGTTGAACAGGGAGAGGAATCATTGCGATGCAAATCAAAGCTGTACACAAAGATTAAAGCCAGCACTGCAAGTAGGTGTGAAAAAACTAAGGGTAGCTTCCTTGACTCACCTTTTAATAGTTATTTGCTTGATCCTCTCTGCAACTGGAACTTAGACTGAATTCAGTAATGAAGGCCAAAGTAGGATTTTACAGCTGTAGCATTATTTCAGCTCTGCCCTGCAAGTAACTGCAGCCAGTGAAATCCCTCACACAACCATCTTAAGGGAGGCAGGAGGAAGCTGGGCACTTCACCCCACAACAGAAGATCTAGTCAGAATGCTAATGTATGGAAGCTTAAGCTCACAGGCAAGTTCCTGGGTACTGAATGCTGGCCTAGAAGGCATGTATCCCATTATCATAGGGAAAGTAGTGAGAATCCTGAAGTAGACTGAGCAAGATTTGAAGGCTGTCAGGTATGATGAGTAGAAGTTTTATTCTCTTGGTGACTTGAATTTATATGATGGAAGTCTGTACCCTTCAGCTTTGCTACTTCACAGTTACAACTCTATTACATTAAGATCCAGGCTTCAGTAGTAAATAATTTTAAGTTCTGAATTTATTGGCAGCTGCTATTCAACATAACCACAAGATTACAAAGTCCAGAACCTGTTACACATGTATGAGGTGCCAGAGAAGTTTAGAGAAGCTGACAGTATAAACAAAACTATAAAAATAAAAGTTTTCCAGGGTGGTATGTTAAGAACAAGCATGCTTTTTTTAAAAAAAAAAAAAAAAAAAGGCTGTAACCCAACAAAATGAAGCTTTCCTCTCATTGTAGGTTGACATTGAAGTGGATTTCATTAGATTTTCTGCCAAGAAACTCCTGAACTGAGGCATGTCTTTAACACCTACTGAAAATGGAACAATAAAATGATATTTTTTAAAAATTTTAGTATTACTGATCTCCATCTCCATTTTCTGTTTTCAGTTGTTTTGGTGCAGGTTCTTCTTTTTCCATTTCCTCTAGTGGTCGTTTCTTGGGACTTGCTGGTTCTGCAAGATTGAATAAGTAGTTGTTTATGGTAAATGAAAGCATTCCAGTATTACTTGAAATCTTTTGGAAAAAAAACAATCCCTTCCTACCAAGTAAGTTCAAGAATGAGTCCTAGTTTATCCACAGCCACTGCTATGCTAGAGGGTTTATTTGTTACTGTGACTTAAAGCTTTTAGATGTTCCGAAATACCAACTTCACAGCAGGAGGGTAGGAAGAGTATGAAGGAAAACAATCTAACAAGTAGGTTTCACTGGGTTTTGTTTAAGTAGGTGCCCCATCTACTGAATAGCAAGCTTAGCTCTTCATCTTCTCCAAGCTAAATACCAATATGCAGAACTATTAGTCTTCTCATATCCTCCAGAAAAAAAAATAATCACCACTCAAGAGACTAGGTCTGTACAGCTGTGTAATGTTGCAGACAGTCACCACCTATCTTTCAATGCAGAATGCTTTGAATAACCCTGCTGTACAGCTCAGCTATCTAGTAATTATTTTAATACGCTTTTTGGACAGTTCTGGAAGGCATCAAGCACACAACCCTTAAAAGTTATTTACTGATACTGACAAGAGAACTGAAATACTAAAATATAGGTCCAAATCTGAATCAATAAGAAACACAAGTCTTTCTCCAGATAGCAGCTCAGTGTACTGAAGAAGCTGCATACAGTGCATAGAATGACATACCTGGTTTAGTATTATCATTTTCACCACCTTCTTCATTTTCAAACTTTATTTTCTTGCCCTGAAACTGTACTTTTCCTTTGTGTGAACCTTGAGGCATCTTTCCCCCTCTTCCTTTTCCTTTAATTTTTCGTCCTGTGGGGATATGTCAGGAACTTCGTATCATTTAACTGGCAAGCTCAAAAGAATGCTTTACAGTTAGTGTTTAGTATGCATTCACTATTTAGTTATTTTCACACAGTGCCACTTCTAGGACATTATAAATGCTTAAACCAATAAAAGGAGGACCTTTTGTTTTCTGTTTCAGCAATTCTTGCTGATCTTCCAATATTTTTTTCAGAGCATCTTTCTCTGCATCTCCTTCTAGCACTTCCCATGTCACATCCTTGTTCCGAAGCTGTAAGTTTCCATTATGTGCTGCTTTGGCTTTTTCCAGAGCTTCTTTTGCAACTTCCTTAAATAGGATAATTCCCTTAAAAAGAAAAGGGGCATTTGAGTCTTACTGCATAAACACTCATCTAGAATCACAAACAACATAACCTGTTTGGTACCTCACCAAGTTCATTACTTTTGCATGATGTAAGATGTCTAAAGCAAAACCCTCACTGTCCTAAGAAATAGTCTCAGTTTTGACCTTATCAACCAAGAAGGCTGGAATCTTTAAGTTCTTTTGAAATAATTTAGGGGAATAATTTAATTTTCTAAATATTCTGCAATTCCACCAGTCAAATAATTTCTTACTTCATTACGTAAAAGAACAAGCATTTAATCATTTAGTTTCAAACTTTAATACAGATATCTTAATTCCTTGTCTTAAGATTCTACTGACCTCCTTTGCACCTCTGACAAAATGTATCCATTTGATTTCTCCATGATCAGAGAACACATCATGGAGATCTTCTCTGCATGTCTGATCATCTAGATCACCAGAAAACTTCAAAAGGCATCCTGTCGTGTCTTCCAGAGACTTCTAAATGAAATTAAAAAAACCCACATTTTTGTTGAAGAGACAAGCTTGAATTTTTTTTTTTCCCCCTCAGTCCTAAGACTATTAAAACATGATAGTAATAAATAAGAAATTGAAGTCATATCTCCCTTAGCACCATTAGTAACCCAACCACTACTGCTGCACAGCTTATTTATGCTGATGTCCAAGTCTTGCATAGTGTTCCCCCCTGCCCTTTTTAAATTTTCTTTCCTTATTATGATACATTTATGTGGAACTTAGGACTCCTTTCCTGTAAGACAGTTATGCTCTTCGCATTCTGCAGCAGTTTTCTGAAGGCTGACACCTCAGGTTGAAAATCTGTGTAATACCAATTCCTTACTGGATCCTGTACATTCCACAGAAGAAGGATCATCTCAATGGTGCGTTTAAGATCACTTCTGAACAGGTAAACATATCTAATAAATTCAGGATATAATCCTTTAAACAAAATTAGTCTCTTGACAATAAGATTAAATACCATGACAAAACAAAGTCTTACTGCATGTTAGTTGGAAAAGCTGAAGTGATTTTCCAGAGAAAGCATACATTCTAGAATTTCAAACTCTGAATATCCCACATTAGCCTTACAAAATGCAGCTGCAGGAGCATGTTTGTTACATGTAGATTGAAAATCCATACAAAAGCAAGCATTGAATAGTTATCAGGTATAAAGATATAAGAAACCCATACCATTTCAGCATCTGCTGCTTGTTTCTGTTTTTCTTCTTTTTCCCTATGGAAAAATTAGATTAGTTAAGAGGTTGGTTCAAGTTTGGTCAGGTGAACAAAACCAGAAACTTCAATTGATAATGACTTACTGTTTAGCTCTTGCTTTAGCTTCTACTTTGTTTTGTCTCCTTTCTTCATTCTTCTTTGTACAATACTCCTCCCTTCAATAGAATATATGCTAAGTTAATACCACTTGAAGTATTCCATTATAATTACATTGTAAGACAGCAGTAGCCAAGAAACAGTTGAGATTTTTCAGGGTTGAGATGTCAGTCTTCAAAAGGTACAGCTATTAATACCTGTACAACAGTGTAGACACACTTCTCGGGTCAAGCCAGGTTCACATCTAAATCTACCACTGACCATTCTTAGTTTGTACCTCAGTTAAATGGACTTACTTGAAAAGTATTATCAGCTCTGTGTCTTTGTACTTTTGGTTTGGGATCTCTGTGAACTTCTTAGCAGATTCAACACTATCAAAAACTGCAAATATTGAGCCCTGTTAAGTGGTAAGAGACATTCGGTGTTAGAATAATGGAATAGAATGTTGTCTGGGGGGGGATCCCTGTTCCAAGTTTAACTGTTCATCAAAAGACTTACCTTGAACGTTCTCTGCAATGTTCTCCTCATTTGAATGTTTTCAACTGGACCTTTATCCTCAAGCCATTCTTTGATATCATCAAGAGTTGCATCTAGTGGAAAGCCTTTCTGCAAGATAGCAACAAGCTTCAATTATAAACAACTAGCTGGCTCTTAGAAATTATAACATACCTAGTATGAGTTAATTCAAGCTTTACTTAGATTCTTTTCAGTCAAAGTCATATAGAACAGCACAGGACAGAGGAAGAAGTTTACTTACAACATATACAGATCTGTTTTTAATTGCAGCCTTATACTGGTCATTTAATTCAGGAAGTGGTTTGTTTGGAGATCTTCTGATTTTAGTTTTGTCTTCATTTATTTCCATTAAACCAGTCTTGGATTTTCTTAGTGCTTCTACAATAACACTGAAATCTTTTGAAAGGCGACTTAACCTATTGAGTAAGCAGACACAGGTTATTACAACAGGCAAATGTTAAATCAGCAACAGGAGCTGTAAATGCAGACCAGGAACATTTAGCCCCAAATAGAGATATGTAGCTGAAAGTTACCCTTCCATCCAGTTAGTTGTACTTTATTTTACCTGTTGAATTTGATCATTACTTCTAAAGGTACCCAGCCATCATCTAGTTTGATCTGTTCCTTTAGGAACTTGTCTCTTGGTAGATTGTGATTGCCAAAATAGTACTGCAAAAAAGAAGCAGGGGAGGTGGGGAGAGAGATTTGTCTTTAATGTTCGGTCTTAAATTAAACTCATTTTCATCTGACAATGTACTGCAGTGGATTGAGACAACCAAAATTCATTAATCTGAACAATTAGAAATTCTAAAATTATTCCTTCCTGCTTTAACATGATACTTTTCCAGAGTCAGCTTCAACACAAGCTGTAAAAACAGCACTTCATCCAATAGGATTAATGAGGCAAAGGTAGACTGCAGTTTTGTTTAGGAAAGGCATGAAGCTTATTCTGTTAACATAATTATTAATCAACCTGATTAAGCCCGGCAGAGTCAAAAAGTCAAATTTGTCACCAACAAATTCAGGTTTTAGTCCTTATTTAAGGAATGCATAAGCAAGAATATTGTATTTGTCACACTGAGAAATCATACACATAGACAAGAGTTTTAGGTCTTATTCAAGAAAATACTGTAAGATAGAAAAACTGGGTTTATTTTAGTTTACTATGTTCTCATTTTGATCATGTCCAGCATGGGAAGACAATTTACTTCAAGATAGACAAATTAATTTGCTTACTAGCAGTTATCTAACTGGGGTCAAATACTTGAAGCCATAGGATAAGTTGGACTGTTTCCACCAATATCCTTGTGCTTCAGGAGGTCAGTGCAAGTTTTACAAGACACCCCCCTCTATTATACCTCAAACTCACTACAAGTCTGGATTTGTCAACTATTTTTCCTCAATCTTGTTGGGTTTTTTCTTCACAAATAATGGCTACAGTTCCATATGCTAACAGAGGTTCACATGCAGCTGTATTTTTGTCCTTCAGGAAAGCAGTTTTGTTCTAGATGTTGGTTTAAGTGATGTACTTGTTTTTCCATTGCAGGACAAACCTCCAAGGCTCTAGAGTGAGAGGTAGTTAATCTAAAGTTGGTACATAAGTTTAGTTGTAATTTGTAGCAATAAAATGCAAAGCAGTAAATCATAATAGCAAGTTATGTGATGTGCTAATTAACAGCACAAATTCCCAAGAGGATATTTTTCCCAAAAAACATTGTCATATAGCATTAAAATGCATCTTTCCATTTGCATAGACAGAATAACCTCAATGAACATTGTAATAAATTGTTTAATGATGCATTCACTTGCTACATAGCACCTAAAACGCTAGCAAATTAAACCTTTTGTGTTTTTAAATGGTGGTCTTACAGACAAGTATAACTTCTTAGACTACTATTATGAATTATCTTTAAAGTATTATACCAGTCATAGTCTTGACAGACTTTTGTAAAGAGCTAAAAATTCAAATCTTATCTCCCTATGAAAGTAACTTCCCATTAGACAAGTCTCTACCAACAAATGTCTCCAAAACTACATCTCAGTCCAGATCCCAAACTGTAAATTGAACTTACCTCAATTTGCTGACAGATTTTGCTTTCCAAAATAGACATGTTTTCACCATCTCCATTTTCAGCCATCTTCACCAGCTGTGTTGAAGAGAATATAAAGCAAAGGTACTAAGTATTGAATAGTATTTTCTACAGACTTTAGTGTTACATTGTACTGCAACCTCATCTAAACAAGATAACAGACAAGTTATTTAGGCATATATTTATGCTTGTAAGCCAACTTTGAACATGACTGCAGAACACCAAGGGAAAACTATGAAATGCTGGCACTTTACAACATTATTTGTAATTTATTTTTTTCTATGCACAGTAGGATCCTCAGTTGGTACCTAAAAACAACAAACCTGAGAGCCAACAACATTTGTTCTTTAAATCAAATCCAACCTCTCACCACGAGGCAAAGCATCAGTAACAAAAATTGTTTAATATTCCTAAATAGGTTATCATTAGAAACTTTTCTGAAATTTCTGCCTCCAAATTAATCTTTGAAAGTTTAAGGAACTTACTGGAGGAATGAAAGAAAACATCTGCATTTACTAACACATCCTAAAGATGCCTAGTTTTCCCCTCTGCAAATTTCTCTTCACTGCAGTTTTGCATGAATACCAAATCAAGCATCTTTGATAAGAGGTAAGATGTTTTAACTTGAAAGTAATTTCTTCCCTTAACTGCCATTAAGTGCATAATCCTGATACATCAGATGCAGTCACTACCACATGCACTAGAAGGTTGGTAATCAAGCAGCTACTGGCCAGAAAGTTAACTGGGATCAGAAAACATCTATCTAATTGCTCTTAACATAAGGATAGAGCATGAAGAGTAATCCTTGAGGAAAAATGTAGTTTTACAAAGCTGTCAGAAATCAGTTTGAATTCAGTTTTTAACTATGAAGTACAGATTTCTTATTTCTCCCTCTGGGCACCATCACACTTCTTAAATCCAGCTACAGAAGATGAAGCAGTTTCATGGCCCTCAGTTATGCCAATTCACAGATCAGTGATCGTTAAGACTACCAGTGGAGTACGGGTTTGCACCCGTGTCCTGCATGGTTTATTGGGAAATTTAAGCATGTATATTCTGCTTTTCTGCCACTTCCAGGACAATAACATCTTTCAGAGCATCAAGATGATTGACAACATAGAAGCAGGGAAAACTCCCCTGAGACCCCTTTTCACAGGAAATTATGTTCTTCATCAGAACACCTGCTTGGCAACCCCATTTTTTTATTTCAGTAGTTTAATTTACTAATCACTGTTCAGCCTACTGCAGTTTGCAGTATTCCCATTTCTTCTTCCTGATCTCAAGGCCACATTGCATCTTTTGACTTCTTGTAGTTCTTTTTAATCTAGCCACTTAACAGCCTTGTAGTTTGCATCCAGGTCTCCACTACTGGACTTACACTTGTACCATTCTTTAAAACATAATTTCAGCAAGTGTTAGGTGACAGCTATACTCAGAGTATGATCTGTTTGTCTATAAAGTACTTTACAAAACTCCAGGCCACAAGTACACAAGCTAAGTGTTGCAGTTACTTTAGACATGTCCCACATTAGCAACCCTAACTACAGGAGACTTAATTAGTTTACCACCACATTCAGGTGTTGGCACTATCTTAACACTCCCCTGCTCTGCTGTCCCAAACACTGGACCTGAGAGAGAAACCAGTGTTCTATTTTACATTATACCTAATTCAGTGTAATTTAATGTCAGTCTATGGAGTAGTCTCAGCTTATTCCATTGGATGAACTAATTGACTACATTCCTTGTGTGCTAGTGTAACACCTGATCCAACAGAAAGTTAACCCCCACTGAAGAAAGAGAAGAACAGTTCCATTAGATAAATTATCACTAACTTGATTCAGCTTGTAGAAAACACTAGTGATGGAGCTGTTAGGGCAGGGAGCACAAGAGTAAAACTCAGAAAAACCCTTCTGTGGCAGCAAGAAGTTGTAGCAAGTTAAGTTTGACAAACTATATCCTCAGGGTCAAAAAAGTACTGAATGGCAGCTACTCAAATCTTCATATTCTCAAACCTTAGCTTGGTGATTTATTTAACTCACATTGCAAAGTCTCTTCTCCAGGTGTGGCAGATTATTTTCACCATAAAGCAACATAAGTGAACTATTTTTTATGGGTGCTTTTCACAGAACAGCTCAATTAAGGTCTAAGACAACATACTAATTTGCTAAGAGATGTGAAAAATTTTGCTCTTGCATATTCTGAGGAAAAAAATAATTTTTATTTTAGTCACGTATCCCATTTTAATAAAAATGCATTAACAGTATGTTCTGGAACTCCAGAACTGGTGCCCACCAAAATACAGATTGAGCAGGATACAGGAATTTTCCCTCACCACCTTCCATTTGGTCAGCCAGTCTCAAGTACACTGTTAAGAAAAAGCTGGGTGGAGACAACTGCTTTGTACTCCTCTGTAGTGTGAAATACAGACCAGCTACCAAGGAGGCTCTATCTGTTTGCTCCTTCAGTGGTCTTTGCTGTTTACCTGTCATACTGACTAGTGTATGGATTTCTTGGAGCAAGTTCTCCCTTAATCCAAGCTGTTCTTAAATAAAACTTGGGGCCATTTGGCTGCATGCTGCTCAATCACCAATAGTTCTACCCCAGTTAATGAGGTGAGGATTACACAGAAGCAGCATGTCTGAGACAGTATAGTTAGGAGAGAATCCTTATGTAGAGCTGTTGATGATTTTGTCAATTAAGAGAAACACCCCGCAACCCCCTAATCTGCCCAGAGCAGCCTGGCTCTTCTAGCCTCACCAAAGTCCACACCAGACCGAAATACACAGGACAGCCTTCTTTTTACCACTGGATACCCAAGAATCCATTCAGAAATGCCAGGATAATAGTGTTGTGAAGCATAATGGAAGAACATACACTTTGGTCTTCACCTGGCTTCTGCCAGTTAAAGCCCTTCAGCCCTGTATATCCTTAAATATGCTTTCTTGCACTTCCCCAGCTCTCACAGTGCACCACTCTCCCAGTCTGCCTCACTCCAGAATACCCAGAACCAGCAACTCACTTTCCACACAATAAGGCTCAGATCCAACACTAAGAAAAGATGAAAACCAAAGTTTTCCCTCAGCAGTATTTTCAAGGCAAAACCCAAACTGTACAGAAGTGTAAATCAATGCAACACCTGGGACAAGGCCTTCAGATTAAGTTTGCACCTGGAAGTTTTTCTAAAAATCACCTGTTCAGCTGCAAATAACAACAAGCTGAAGGCAAGACTGAGAAAGACTCAAGCTTGCAGTATGGTGAATTCAGTTCAGACACTGAATCGAGCTCTAACCTATTTAGAAGAGCAGAAGCAGCCTTCTAATTTAAGGGAAATTCTAATCTTGCTCCGCGTGCTCACTTCAGTCTCTAGCTCAGTCATTTGGCACAAGTTGGCCTTCTGGATCCAGCTTCCAGATCAGTAGTTTTCAGCTGCTGTGCAGCAATAAATATTGATAAAAAGCTCACTCCACTGAACAACGATCGCGGTCTGAACAACATGCGGAATACTACATCAGATTTTACCTTCAGTGCTTTCTTAGCAGACCACACTGACTTGTTCCTCCTGTGTGCCAACAGTGTGTATCAGTAGCACTCAAAATGAAAACAAGTTAAAATAATGCAAGTCGGCGTGAGATGTAAATTAAAAATGGAAAATGACAGTCAAGCCCTTTAACCAGAACAATTTGATCCCACTCTGTATTAGGTAGATCTCTCCAGTGCATTTTCATCTTACCAGCCATTTAGTTTCAATGTCTGGACAAAGCTTAGTTGCAGGCTGCTTTTACTGTTACCAGAAGAGAGTGAAAAGCTTCATTTTAAAAAAATAAGTTTCCCCAGTAAAGTAACATGGAACTGTTACTCATGCAGTGCATTGTTCGGGAACCCGTCTGTAAGAGGTCTGAGCCTTCTGACCAGATTCTTATGTCAAATGACAGCTTTTTATTTAAGGAAAGGATTAACTGCCACCACTCATTATGACAGCTGTTAGTTCCACCGTTGGTTTTTGACTAGACTCGGTGCACCAGAAGCAGGAATGTCTCAGGAAAGTACTGAGGTGACGGGACTTACCCGTCCGTGACTCCTGAACCTTACCCGTGCGTGCCAGGAGCCCACGGGCTGGCTCTAGGACGCGCTGATATTGCCATAGCGGCAACCCGGGCCTCCTCCGGC